ATCCTTAATCATTATACATGAAAGTACTCGTCATTGAATTTTCATATCGATTGATAAATTGGAATGCTTTCATTGTAAACAACCAAATCACATCACTAAATCTTAACCTTACTTAAAATCACATGAACCTAACAATCCTATCATAATTAATTCGTTCATTACTACCTTCATTAAAAAAAATTATATGCTGAGAAAAGTGCAACGGCGTACCTAACGAAATCTATTACAATTTTTCAAAGACATTAACCTTCTAACATTATTCTCCTAAAACGGAGGAAAGCGTGAAAAAATTCACGATCTCATATTCCCAGATATCCTATTGAAGATGCGCGAGATAATTAAGACAGTAAGGATCTAAAAAAAAAACTGCGTGAAAAAGCTGTCGCGATGACAGATAACAAGTATAACCGAGACACCACTTGAGATCAGTGTTTGACGCTGTTTAAGTGCCATCAGAATAAGTTTATGCATGGTATCGTGACCATGTCGCCAGAAGTGACCATTCACAATGCATATTGTCACTCTGGCAGACCAATCACAAACAGTTTTATTAACTGCGTTATCATTGGCCTCCCGGCTGAAGATCACTGCTAAACTGCAAACACAACGTGTATAAAAAGGCAGCACATCTTCCGCTCGGGATCTAGTCCCAAAAAAAAACCACAAAAAAACACAAAAAACCGGCCTCGGCCACCAAAAAAATCAAAAAAATTACTAAAAAAAACCGGCTTCGGCCACCAAAAAAATTAACAAAAATCCCAAAACCCGGGCACGTAGGGCCCAACCCCTTGAGCACCAAGTCGCCAAACTGAGCCGGGACTCAGAGCGGAGACTTGAGGCCCAAGTAAGCAATTTTAGTTCGCGGATAAGCCACATTAAGATAACAGGAATATAGCGGAGATGCGCTGTCCTGAGTTTTTGCATTCGGTTAGGAAACCATGTTGGGGTTCTATTACCCAGGACCTCCACATGAAGAGCATTTGGCTGATTGTTGTGCCTCTATAGCGCTAATCGCTAACATACCAAATAAAGAACTTACTATAATATGTGGCGACTTTAATGCAAAAGTTGGCAACACTACACAAAATGTACGACTTAAAGAATGTACTGGGAAAGTTTGGCAAAGGGCAGAGAAACGAACACCCACTATACATCTGTTTTATAGATTACCGTAAAGCGTTCGACAGGGTCAAGTGGAGACACTTATGGCGAATACTAAAAGAAGTAGGTGTACCACAACATCTAATTACGCTTATAACTGAACTATATGAACACACTACTGGATCAGTTAAAGTACTTGATACACTTTCGAACGAGTTTCATCCAGAACGGGGTGTCAGACAAGGATGTATACTATCTCCACAATTATTCAACATATATGGGGAGTATATTATGCGAAGAGCACTTGAAGGATGGGAAAAGGGCATCTCAATAAATGGTCATAAACTAAACAACCTACGTTTCGCAGATGACACAGACCTTCTTGCAAATAGTCAAGCAGAGCTGATGGAACTTATACGACTGATCGAAAACGAAAGTCAAATATTTGGTCTGCAATTAAACATATCAAAGACAAAGATCATGATAGTGGATAGACCACACAACAATCATCCACACATAACCACAATTGACCGGTTCGAGGTTGTGAGCTCATACTTATATCTGGGATCATTAATCACAAACACAGGGTCATTACAAGAAGAGATTAAACGTAGATGTGATCTAACAAAAGTTGCCACAGCAAAAATGACCAAAATATGGAAGGACTGTCAAATTTCAAGAGCGATAAAGATGAGGTTGATCAACTGCTTAATATTCCCAATACTGACCTACGGATGTGAATCTTGGACTCTGAGACAATCGAAGAGAAAAAAGATAGACGCCACTGAAATGTTCTGTTGGAGACGAATGTTACGAATTCCTTGGACCGACCGTAGAACAAATAATTCAATTTTAAGAGAGCTAAAAGTTAGCCAACGACTCTCTAGTAAAGTCCATCTCCAACAATTAAAATATTTTGGACATGTTATGAGAGCAAACACAGAAAACATGAAAAGACTCATAATACAAGGAAATGTAGAAGGCCGAAGATCACGAGGAAGATCCCCAACAAGATGGATAGACCAAATTACAGGAATATGCCAAAGACCTATGCATGAATTAAAAGAAATGACCAGAGACAGAGATCTCTGGAGACGGACAATACACGACATCACGTCGACCACTACACTCCCCCTGGGGGGTCAGGATTGAAGAGAGAAAGAGATAGCGCATCAGAGTGCTATTGGGGGGAAAGGGATGGTCTAGAGCATTGGAGCATGGTGGGGTGACTCCTGTTTTTACTCGAGTTAACACACCTTGCTCCAATGAATTGTTACACCCGATCGTACTACCTTTGTGAACATTTCTCATAGGCTGGGTTCAATTAAATTGCTTGCTTGCTTGCTCTGGATCTAGTCGTCAACACCACTAGCCCCTGCTACACGTTCTTGACCAGGTGCCTTTACTACGATTCTGCATTTTATTATTACCTAAGTGAACATTTCTACGATCTAAGAAGACATCGAGGCTAAGACGATTCCAAAGCTCTTTAGTGTTTGAATGAATACGAAGACGTGTAGCTACAACATCATTAAAACCACAAGAAGTATAAGAACCGGCAATTGTTGACTGACGGCTTATGTTTTGTAAAGGTAAAGAAAAGTTTGGCAACGGACTTATAATTACTTCGCAGAAACCGGCTAGCAGCTCGGAGAGGATGTTCACTGACCAGATAGACACGATCTTTGAGATAGGGAAAGACAGGTTGTCTTATAGCTATTTCAGATCGTGTCGAACTGATACAGCGTTCCAGTACTCCACTGATGGTCACAAGTTAATAAAAACCTCAAGTGGGCTGGAAATTACTTCTCACTCGGTGGCCGAGCTGCGGTAACACTTCGCTGCCAAAGACCTTTTGATAGAAATAGTATTACTAAACCAATACTCCTGTAAGACAAATTAACGTAAGAAATAAACCTATATATATAACAAGCGAGTCTTCTACAGCTGGCGCCGCTTCTCGCATCCTAATTTCCAGCGTTTTCTGTCGAAGCAATCTTCAGTTGTTAGATCTCTGGCGGTCATTGCATCGTCGACATCGTCTCTCCAGGATCGTCTTGGTCTACCTCGTTGTCTTCTAGTTGGCGGAGTCCATTCTTCTATTTTTTTTGGCCATCTATTTTCCGGCATTCTCTGAAGGTGTCCATACCAGTTAAGTCTTTTGGCTTCGATTGTGTCTATTATGTCAAGATCGATTTCCATTTCTCTCCGAATATCTTCGTTTCTCACCCTATCTAGTCTAGTGAGCTGGCAACATCGTCTCCAGTAGTTCATTTCCATGGCCTTAATTTTTGATTTGTTTCTTTGGTTTATTTCCCAGAGTTCGGCGCCATACAGTCCAATACTTTCTATTATTGTTTTATAAATTCTTCTTTTATTTTCTTTTGTTATAGAATAACCTCTGTTATAGAAATAAACCTCTAACTGTTAAAGTATTCTGGTTGCTGGTGGCACTTTGCCGACTGCAGGGTCTCCGATGAACTCACTAAGTGAAAACCTGGATCACATAAACCCCACGAACACAAGGATGGAGTCGAGAAATCTTCGATCCTCCCCCAGAGCAGCGGTCGGAGATCATCCAGAATCTCCGAATACCTCGGAGGATGGTCCGACCGTACGCTAACCATCGAAGAAATATGAATCCACTGTTATCCACTAGAGACCATACAACAGTTGCATTTCTAAATCGTCAACGCACCGGATCTCACCTCCGCCGTCACCCCGGCCAGATTAGTTAAAGCACAGAATACTCCAGCACAACGGAGTATTCTGTGGTTAAAGTTTATAGTGCGACTTCTTTTTGTTTCCGAAAAAGTTACTCCCTGACAGAAATTTGAATCGAATGAGGAGGTCATTGCCACCACGGAGGCCTACTTTGCAGGCCTCGGAAAATTTAAAATTTGAAAATTCTTTGCAAGAAGAATGAAACAATACGGAGGATGTGGCACAGTGGACGAAAATGCTGATCCCGAACATAAGAGCTTGGATGGACTGTGGCCTCAGGCAACTGGATTATTTCCTGACGCAGGTGCTCACAGGACACGGGTGTTTTAGGGCCTACCTTTATAGGATCGGAAAGGCTGATACAGATGAATGGCTATATTGTGGATACTCGGACACTGAGAGAGGTGTGAATTTTGTTACAGTGAGAGAAATGATTGAGAGAATGATTGAAAATTAATTAGGTTGGATTAACATACACAGTTATATCCGTGCAGTGATCAAGAAAAAGGAAGAGGAAGAAAGACAGTTGGACCAACGGCAAAGGTAGAGTGAATGATGCCGAAAGGTGAAGTTAGAAGGTCACACTTTTTGAGTTAGAATGCGTGAGTTTGACTGTGGGGAAGGAGGAAATGTCCTTCTGGTAATGATGCCGAACTAGGAGTGTGGATGTGTATGAATGGAGAATGAATGAATAAAGGTAGTGCTTCGGAAGTGATGCCGGCCTTACAGCGGCCATTCCGCTTCCGGATCGCTGGATGACAGAGGAGGGTCTGGTTTAGCAGGTAGGCATTCTGCGTAGACTCGGCGACGAGAGGGCATTTTAAAGTACCTCGGGAACTATCGCCGGGAGTACAAAGAACGAATCCTGCACTAAGGTTTGTCAGGCGGCGTCCTGGACTGAGATGTCTTTTGAAGATTCCAGACCCCCCCTCTATAAAGACGAAAAAAAGGGCCTCGGAAAACGGTATTTTTAGACGGATTAAAGTAGTTAAACGACCGCTGGGTCAAGTTTATCGAGCTAAAAGGATACTGTATTGAGAAATAAATTGCCACAAAATTTTCGTTTTTCTTTTGTAGACCAAGTACTTATTGGACCACCCGCGTATTAACATGATTGTTAAGAAATTATAAAAACAATACAATACAATTTTTTTATAAATGTTTTTATAACTTACCTCTTGTATGAGTGCCTTTTCTTTTGCAGCAGCTCTATGCAACAATATTTTAACCTTGTCCAATAGTGATGATTTCATTTCCAATTGATCTTTAATGTTGGATAGTTCCCTCGCTAATACAATTGATTTGTCGTCTTCTTTCCTAGAGGCAGTAAGGCTGTGCAGAGTATTTTTGGTTGCTTCTAATTCTTTTGTTAGTTCTTCGATTCTTTGTTTGCATTCTGAATGTTGTTCTTTTAGGCGAACGTGGTCTCTTTTCAGTTTATCAGCAGAAGCCTAAAATACATATTTGATAATAAATATTATGTATTTATTTATCAGTATTTGTCCAAAAATTTTAAATTCAGTTAAAATTAAGTACCATTGTCTATAAAGTCACAAATTGTAGGTCGAATGCAATGGTCAAAAATATAAATAACGGCTTATATGACCAACAATTAAGTATTCAGAAAACAATTTTCTAGGCTGAAAAACATTCTATAATCGGTTCACAATTTGTCGATAGCTCACTACAAATTTAACCCTAATTAGAAAATACAGAGAGGATAGGTAATACGATATAATAGTAAAAACCAACCTGAAACTGACGGTTTAAGATGTTTTCCAGTAACCCACCTTGTATCTGAAGGAATACAATACAGCACTCAGCCTTATAATCCGATTACGATGGTATTTTGGTTACAGATGACCGACCAGTGTCGTAGAGTATATGATTGAAACATGTATTTAAACTAAATAAATAAATATTTTAAATTGTACTTATGTAAATTGTATTTTTGTTTTAATAAAACTTCTTTATTTTATTCAAAAATAAAAAGTTTCTTGCCATTTGTAAAAGATACATTTATTTAATTAAGGGGAAAAATGACACAAGATTTCCGAGGAAAAACAGAAGTAGTAATAAAATATGTAAAAGTGAAATTGCCAAGGTGCATCATATTAGTTCCTTTTCAACAAAAGAATGACATTAGAAAGATGTTTTGTACCTAAGTGAATGTCAATTCAAAAAAGACATCAACTATTCTGCGAAATGTATCCTGAAAGTAATATTAAGCATTGTTTTTATCCTAAGTACTTTAAAGACCACTTTAATCTAAGATTTGGCTGACTGCCTAGTGATACATTTATGTAATGGGGAGAAAAATGTATAAAAGTGCCCAAACTTAATGAAACTGAAAAGAAAGTTTATGCAGCAGAACTAATGGTGCACAGACATCAATCCAAACCATTTTATTAATTTTTTTGCCGACTTCATTGGCAAATTCTAAAGATTTATTAAAACAAAATGCTAAAATTTTTGGTTTGGTTTTTGACTTGCAAAATATAGATTTACCAAAAGTTCCAGTGCAAGAAATTTACTACCGTCGACAGTTGACTGTGAACAATTTTTGTGTTTACAACTTAAAAACTAATAGCTCAGTTTTACTTATATCACGAAGGCCAAGCAATAAAAGGAGCAAATTATGTAGCTTCTTTTCTTATAGACTACATTGAAAAAAATGTTCCAGACTTAGTAACTGAACTTAATTTATTTTCTGACAATTGTCTGAGTCAGAATAAAAATCATACTTTGATTCGAGTCCTCTAAAGTCTAAACTAACACGATATATCAGATGTGTGAATTGATTTGCTCTGCTAATCGCAAATTTGCTACAGGAAGTATAATTGATTGTGATAATTGATGGCCTCATGTATATAAGAAGAGAGTCTGTTAAACGGGAAGGGTTGCTCTCTCATGGAGAGAGCGGGAATATTTCAATACGTCAAAGTATCAGTACTTTGAATATTCTTGACAACAATGGTAATATTCAATCATCGGAGTTTATTCATGCACTGAATGCTGATGATAATGCTGCTTACTACTATGGCTATTTCAATGTCAGTAAAGTTTACCCACAAACCATTCAGCTTCCGGAAGCACAAGCTTATACTTCTCGAATGCTACCTCTAAAGAAAGAAAAAATTGAGGAACGTAAGAAAGCTATTAAGTACGTTCTCTGTGAATTTGAAGATTTCTGTGTAGATATGTATTATACATTTTTCAGAGCATAATCATTAGAATATTAAGTGTTGATAATAACTTAGAGCAATATTTTGTGTTTTATTACTATATGCTTTACTGTGTTATAATGAACTATGAAACATGAAAATAAATTTTATAGTGGAGTGAGTCTGTAATTTTATTGCAAAAACGTACCTAAGTAGATGAAAAAACACACATTAATGAATCTTTTATAAATTAACAATATTATTAAATTGGAAATTATAAGCTCTAATCCACTTTACAGATGTAGTTGACTTAAGAAAAAATTATCATGGTACAAAACTAACGATTTTTAAATTCAGACACTTTTTGCGTATTTCTCGAAAGTTAATTAATATTTTTCTGAAATAAGCTGATCAAATAATATTCAAAATTCTTACATATTTCAATACTTACTGATCGATCAGAAAGAGGCCTTTTTCCGCTAACAAGTCTTTTATTTTCTGCCTGAAGCTTCTCTACAACTCGTTTTAATATAAAAACAGTTCGTTCTAACTCAGAAACTTTTTTAGTTCCAGGACTAGAATCTTGCGGATCACTTGAAATGTCAACTTGCTGTTTGCTATTCTCACTCTTGAGGACATCTATATAACTGAAAGTAAAATCAAAATTAAAAACATTAAAATTATCAAATATATATTGTAAAGTTATGAAAACAACAGTTTTGTCATTCAATAACTATTAATTTTATTTTGGCCAATATGCTCACAAGCAAACGCTCCCTCCTTGATTACGTTATTTTTGATTTTCTTTAAGAAGTTTCAATTTAAATGACTATTATTGATTTTTAAAACAATTAATCTAAAATAGTTCATAAAAAATAAGTAAATAATAATAAAATAGTTTTGTTTTTAAATTCAAATTACAATAAAATCCCAATTTACGTTCAATTGCACCTTGACTTCACAGTACAGGCTGTTATGACCACCAACGACGCCAAATTTCATCAGAAAATAATTTGAAGAAAATGTGCATATAGTACATTTTGTAGCTGCCAGTAGGTGTAGTAAAACACATTCTTTTCGAAAGATGTGAATGTTGTAGCATTTTTAAATTCTTTCGCATATATTGAAATCCCCTCGCATATGTTAAAAAACCGAAATTTTGTTTCAACCATTTTGCATCGTTGGAGTTGTGTTTATCTTTTAGAGTTTTTTTTACATATCACCGATGTGTATTTCCTCGGCATTATTTTGATCGAAAGCCGCTTTTAGGATATTCTGCGTGTCAAATAAATAGGAATTTAACGATATATATTTTGTTTATACCAAATTTGGTGAATCAATTTTAAAGATAATTACATCACTCTCAGTGAGGCCGCTGTCAGAGGCAGTTGGTTTCAGTGTTTGTCCGAATTTAGCTTTAAATTCGTAAATGTCTTTAGTTTTTCGTCTTTTATCATGGGAAAATATGTATTATAGTAGTGTTGTGAAGTTTTATGTGCAGTGAGTCATGGAGACCAGACGGCAGCGTGTGTAGTTTTAGTGAATCGGCAGATTTGTTAAAAAAAGTGATTTATACTCAATGTAATATGTCAGTTCTAAAAGAGTAATCACTGTTTTTATTTCTATGCCGTCTCTCATCTAAGATATTTGTAAAACGGCATTTACAACAACTTTGAAGGATAACCACATGTGTTCCAGTTTTTTAAGAAGCCAAATCTAAAATTTCCGTCAAAGTGAACAGCTTTCAGCCTTATTTTGTCTGTTTAACAGAACAGCTGAATGAACAGTATTTGTTGACTATGGCTGCGATAGTTTTAGTACCTTTGGCATTCCGACAAGTTTGTAGGGCAGTGTTACGATGGAGCCAGTTTGATGTAAGAGTACTTAAACGGAGTTCTACAAAAAATTAAATTACATGCTCCACAAGCAATTTTTGTGCATTAGCCCATCGATTTATTCTTGTTTTGCAAAATTTAAGAAAAAATAATTTTTTTTGCAACTGTTAATGCAATACCGTCGTTTTTTCATAGTTCAGCAAAACTATCGTACGCTTTGGGCTACGCTTTGAACTTACATCAGCTAGACGTATGCCAATAATTACAAAGAAACGATGTTCGTCTAATTCGAAATTAATCAGTGTTATTATTGAAGACTGACAAAAATTAAAAGAGGTTTTTGAGAATATAATGAATTTAGTATGAGCTAGAATGCAAATACCACTCAATACAGAGCATTATTTTTGAAATATACATTTTAATGGAATTAGATGTACGTTTTCAGGATTTATCAGGAGTGATAAATTAAAATTCGTAAGCTTAGCAGATACCACAAAGTTTGAGTCATACAAATTGACCTTTCCTCTCGAAGGTTTTTAAAATTTGAGTCTAATGCACAAAATTTACTAAACATTCAAATTTACTAAACATCAAATATCAAAAGTGAGCTCTGCCTTCTTTATGCCGACGGAAATCACAAAAATGTGAATTTGCAAAAATTGGTTATAAAATTACAGCCAATTAAAGACATTTTTGCAGAAGCCTCCAATTTGTTTTGTTTAATTCTAACAATTCCATCGACAAGCGTGTCCGTAGAAAGAAGTTTTTCATGCTTAAAAAGGTTAAAAACTTTTACAAGAAATACTATTTTTAAGAAAGGCTATCCAACTTAACCCTCCGTTCATCGATGTGTGGTCTGTGAGTCTACGACAAAATAAAAATTTTGGATAAATCTCATTTTATTTTTTAAATATCTACCTTTTCAGTACCTTCCTACAAACTAACTACCATTCATTTTTTTATACAAAACTGTTTTTGAAATTTTTAAATAGCTGCTGCATGGACGTTTCTCCTGACAGACCCCACCTGATCAAATGTGTAACAATATTTGCACTGCTTATTACTTGTATTTTTCTTGCAATCTTGTTTCACTTGGCAACCCTGTGCATTTTTGTGAACTGGATTATTCGGTTGTTCCGAGAAAATATGTCAGTTCACCGATAAAATATTACAACAAAAAATTTTGGAATTGTTTCTGTAATAAACATTATATAGTAAATGATTTGTTTAAAACACGTTGATGCGAAATTAGAAATAAAATGTATGCTTTTGCTCAGGAGGCGGTATTTCATTTTGGTCCTTACAAACCACACCCGATAGAAAGTGTTTCAAAATGGTCACCCGATGAACGGAGGGTTAACTATCATTGCACTTCATAAAGAACTATTGATTGAACTTATTCAGAATCATCCTTTTTACAAGTATATCATTGATAGATTTGTCTCTCTAAAAAAACCAAAGGATCGACTTGATTTATAAAAACTAGGTAAGTTAGTTCTATTAATCTATCTAATACTGTTTTTTGCTTCAGTATCTCTTCACCCTGTCAGTATAAATGCCCTAACAAATAATGTTTTCAAGTTATCAGGGCCCTAAACTCTCAAACTTTTTTTAACGATTTTTTAATGAGATTTAGATCCGAGACACCGAAATTCCTTTTGGCTTAGGCAGGCATCTTCGGAATAATGAGAAAATAAAAGAACACCAAATTACAAACTGAAAGAAGAATTGTAGGACACCTCATACTTGAAGAGATAAAGCAAAGATTTATACTGAAATATGCAATAACTGTCTAAACCCTGAACCGAAGGAGGAGAAATTTATAAAATTAGACAAATTATTACTGTGAAAAAAAAAATGGAAGAGATTTAAAATTATTCATCTAAACCCTATTATATTATACGCATAACTTGTTTTAAAATTGCATTTCCGATATTTTTCTTACTTTTCTAGATGTTGAATTTGTTGATGTAAATGAGGCACTTCCTTATTAGATTTCTCCAGATCCAATTTCAGATCCAAGTTCTCCGCTTCTAGTCTCAAGTTGCTTTTCTGCAAATTCGAATTCGCTGTCTGAAGACGGTCTAATTCGGTTCGTACTTCCACACTTCCCTGCAAATTAAATAGTGGGTGATAAACTAAACATAATCACTGTTATATATTTAGACGAAATAAAACCCAATTAATTAGAAAGATTTTCAATTGAATATATGTTGGGAATCACCACAAACGGTCAAAATTTTTATGTAAAAGTGTTTTGTCATTTTAATTGGTTGTACACGTATATTATTAAAGGCAACATAATATTATTATAAAGTTTGTCCCCATGACATTTTAAGTTTGATATTAACGGAAAAAACCATGTTAACAGTTCAGTTACGTGTGAGAATTGTGAGATCAAAATAGAGTTTAAAACAATTACTGAGTTGAATTTTATTGGAGAACAAGTGTATAACTCTGAAGACACCGGACTTAAACAAAAAATAAAAAACATTATCATGACTGTCTAACAAATTGTCCTAGGTTTAAAGTTCAAAAACATTGGATCACGTATAGTCTATGGGCTAGTTAGGTCACCGTGGCCTTTTTTTTTGGCTACTAATTACGAATTTCGAAGTAGATTTCAGCCCGAGTAGTCAAAAAATTTTTATTTTTTATAAGCTCCAGCTCGTAAACTAAAAGAGCTTGAAAATTTTCTTTTTCAAATGAAATTTGTTCCCTGTAGAAAAAAAGACAAAGAAAATGACGTTAACTAAACTTTAATCCAATAATTAAAACTCAAGATATTATTTTTTGAACCTTGTTCGATCGAAAAAGCTTCGAAAAATAATTATTTTGTAACCATCTTGCATTACGAGCCTTTTAGGCCTTATAAAAAATTAAATTGTTCATTACAATTGCTTAACCACTGATCGAAATCTACTCTCCAAATTCGTAATCAGCAGCCAAAAATATATAAAAAAAAAATCAGAATTGAATAGGTCAAGATGGCCCTTGGCTTACCTCTAGACTAGGCATCCCATTAGTAAATTCTACCAACAAGTAGATATTACCTTTCTATTGAATTGTAAATCACAAAAACCTCGTTCGATTAAAAATTTGATTCTCAATCTGCCACATATTACGATCAAAAGTGCGTATGAATGGATGACACTATTTTTAATTGTGATTGGTTTTACAAACAGTTTGTACTTCGAGCACATTTGTCCAAAAAACAGTTATCACATAAAGCATTGGCGATAATGGATGTCCTGGCGCATTTCTATTGTATGATGAAAACCAACGGCTGCAAAATAACAATCCTTTCAGTGAATTACTTTCTGAAACACGAACAAGAATTGCAAACTGTTCTTGATATAAAGAAAATTGATATATGCCTTATCATTAAGATGCTTATCACAAAAGACTCATACATCACGTTTAAAGAATATGAGGTATATCACACTATCCACCCAGAATATACAGTCAAAGGAAGAAGCGCAATAATTATAAAACAGAGCATAAAACAACATGAGGAGATGGGATGGCAAACAGAAAAAATACAAACCACGACTGTGAAAAACAAAACTAAGACCTATAACCTAGTAGTCTCAACTATATATTGTACACTAACACATAAAATACAGTTGGATTTATATATAATATTTTAGAAGTCCCAAAGAAGTAGATTCATCATCGGAGGTAATTACAAAGCGAAACACAGTAAATGGGGATCAAGATGAAACACCGCTAAAGAAGAGTGCTCGCAAAAGTCTGCAGATAATTGGTCTTTAAAGTAGTATCGACTAAAAATGAATCAGAATAAAATCCCTGACCTGATTAACTCTTTCATTATTAAGAATATTGCCTATCTCTTGAGCGCTGAGGAAGCCTAAGATATCTTACGTCATGTCCCCATTTTCCTAACACTTCGTAATCGGCACAATCGTAATACTGGCAGTGAGAAATAATCATGAAGAAGCTGCAAGAAAACTACAATCTTCAGTAAACAAGATCGATGATTGGACCAAAAAATAAAGGATAAAATTGAATGCGACCAAATCAGTGCATGTAAGTTTCATTAATAAGAAAAAGCAATATATGCCAATTGAAATAAATGACATCCAGATCTCTGTTGCAGATACAGCAAAGTACCTGGATATATATCTTAATGCGAGACTTAGTTGGAAGTTCCATATAAAGAAAAAATCAGAGGGACTTGAACTGAAATACAAAAAATTGTACTGGAAGAAACTCAAGTCTCTCCATAGATAATAAACATTTGATCTATAAACAAATACTCAGACCGGTATGGTCATACGATGCTCAGCTCTGGGGTTATGCCAACAAGAATAATGTTTTAAAGATACAGCGCTTTTAGTACAAAGTATTAAGTTACAACGTCGATGCTCCTTTGTACGTTAAAAATAGTTACTTTCATCGAGACTTAAAGATGGAGATTTTTGAAGAGATAATACGGAATTGTGCCAAGAATCATAAGCAAAGATTGCTTCAACATGTAATTATCGAGGCTCTCCAACTCCTGGGTAAGTAAGAAGACTGCAGAGGGTAAAGATCTTTGAGTTCGTGTAGTGATTAGTTAAAAACGAGAGCATAATGCGGCTTAGTGTACACGAGTGCTTTTGTAAATAATTACACTAATTACTCTAAGTAAAAAACCCCGTAGAAACATTATTGAATGTAACTATAGTTTTAAATATTTATTAGTATTAATTTAGGACAGAACAGATTTGCTCATTAATCTTTCTGAGATAACTGTGTAAAAGACACCTCTTCTGGGATGTTTTATTAACAAAAAAAAAATATTGTCACAGGAGTTTCGCTGGATAACGTCCTGGGAAACTCTGTGTGCTTGTCTTTTTCTGTCGGATCTTGGTGTCACAGGACCATAATCATTATATATTTTTTTATCATGTGTCGGTGATATTATGAATTAAAATTTACTTATTCGAGATCTTTAATATTTGGATATTCAAGCGATTATTACGATTGAACCTATGGGTTGTGCTTCTTGAACCACTAAAAAAATTTAATCTAGCCCTTTCATTGTTTTAGTTTTTATTTATTTGTGGTTACTATTACTAAAGGACTTCATTTTATTCACTAGGAACTAATTCATTTTTCGAATATATTTTAATTAAGGTGTAAATTACTTCGACACTTCCATCGAAGAAGGTTGTGTGTCAATTTTAACGATTTTAGAGGAAAGGCAAAAAACAAAACATGTATTTTTAATCATTTGTAGCGAAATGATTAAACTCTTTTGCACTAATTCGATATGATATTTGTAACATAATGAGGGATTACTTTAAAATGTATGTTTTGTAGTTTTAATATCTATTGAAAATCTTCAGTTTGATGGAGATACAACCTTGAGATTAAACATGTCTCTTCATAGAAAAAGGTTGTAACTCGCTTAACAATCATTTTACACGCTCCGTGTTAATTATTTATTCCGTTTTACCATTAAAAGGTTATATATTTTAAGTTATTGGCAATATAAATAAGAGAAAATTAATTTTTATGATATATTTAAATAAAATATCAACTCGTAGTTTTCTCAATTTTAATCGGAAATTAAAAACTTTACAAAAACAACAATAGTTTTCCACGAAGAACAAAATAATCACTATGAACAAAATAAAATAATTATCTCAAATTTTTATTCGAAATTTTATTGTTGAATATTTTTAGAGTCACAAAATTTTAGTTGTTTATAGTAACTTTTGAATACATGTTTTGGTACACTCTGGTTTCATTTGCCTTTCTCGGATTTGTTGACCTCTTTGATTTGTGAATGGCAATCCTAAATTTGATTCCCCGGTAAACTGTTCATTTAAAAAGATTGACTTACGGGATATACTGTAACTCCTTTGAAAACTTTATTTATCTTCAAATATACAGAAACTAAATATTTGACATAGGGAGTAACAGTGTCACTGTCTTTCTCAAGCTATAATGACACACTTAAATAGAACTTTTTTCAACGGAGTATTAGCGAAAACTATTGAGAATTAAACTATGCCGTTTATATTGACGTGTGCGCAATTTTTTACTGAATTCTCCTGTGTTAAAAACTAAAAATATATTTAACTTGAGTTACAACCTTGTTCTATGGGGGTGTCGATTTAATAGTTTTTGTCTCTATTTTGATGTTTTTTTAACAAGTTGCTTATTACAATTTAAGGCAATATGTCACAAAAATAAAAAAAAATGTTCATTTATCGTTATCGTTTAAACACAAAATATTTGTTTTTGTTTTTATTTTCTGTAACCTCTAATTCATACAAGTCCTCCGCCTATTTGTTTGTCGACAATCTGGTCCTGTCTATACATAAGAAAGTCTTGATTTACATTTAAATTCGTGTATTTAATGACGCTTTTACTTTTTTAAAATAATATTTTCACCTACACATTCGATTTAAAATTATTGTCAAACTTATATTTTTGCGAAAGTTTGAAGTGTTGAAATATTAATCATTACATCTAAAAAAGACACATAATATGTTTGTTAATTTTGTAATAAAAGTAACATGAATATTTATAACAAAAATGTATTTTATATGTATGGCGATGAATTTATTTGTAATCCTTAACGTTAAAGAAACAATTATTATAATCCTTCAAATTATGTAAATTATGCCTCCATGAAAATGACGTAAAAATCGTGTTTAAATTTTAACAATATTTTTTGTTTCAAATGTGTACAACCATATATTGTTCTCAGATCATAACTTAATGATCAGTGACGTTAAACTCAAATTTAAAAATGTAAAAAATCAACGTCGAATACCACTGAAATCAGATCAAAAGCATCATGCAAGAGACAACCAAAAATTATAAAACTGTTAATAAAGGCAACCAATAATGGACGACATTATCTAGCTTCTGAGAGCTCGAAACTGAAGTAGAAGATCAAGTGAATAGAGCAAACATAGCCGCAGGTTGTCTGAATGAAACAATATGGAGAAATAAAAATATCGGCAAAGGCAGAATTTACAAAACAGTCATCAGACCAACAATGACATAAGCGGCAGAAACACGTCTTAACACAGAGAGGATAAAAAGGATGTTAGAAACAACAGAAATGAAAACACAGAAAAATTAATGGT